GGCTTCTCGCATCCAGCTCCTGCCAGCCATCTTGCGCAAATCGTCACTCCACCTGGCCTGTGGGCGTCCTACACTACGTTTGCCAAGACGCGGTCTCCACTCAAGAACTCGTTTTCCCCAACGGTTATCGGTTCTGCGGCTAATATGGCCAGCCCACTGCCACTTCAGCTTGCTGATCCGGTACGCTATGTCGGTGACCTTAGTTCTCTGCCGGATCACCTCATTTCTGATGCGATCCCTTAGAGAAACGCCGAGCATAGCCCTTTCCATAGCACGTTGAGCGACTTTGAACTTGTGGACCAGCCGTACCGTTAGTGTCCACGTTTCAGCTCCGTATGTCATGACGGGTAGGACGCACTCATTAAAGACTTTCGTCTTAAGGCACTGTGGGATCGACGATGAGAAGACTCGACGTAGCTTCCCAAACGCTGCCCAACCCAACCGAATTCTTCTGTTCACCTAGTCCTCGAAGTTGTTTCTACCTAACTGCAATGTCTGCCCGAGGTACACATAATTTTGAACAACTTCGAGAACGGCACCGTGTACCGCAATCGGTTCCGGTAGTACATGTTCGTTGAACATGACCTTGGTTTTATCCAAGTTCATCCGTAGGCCGATGCGTACAGAAGTGTCAGCTAAGTCATTCAGCATTTGCTGTAGGTCCTGCAACGTCTCTGCCATGATGACGATGTCATCTGCAAATCGCAAGTGAGAGATGTATTCGCCATTGATATTGATGCCACGCCCTTTCCAGTGCAGCGTCTTGAACATGTCCTCCATTGCATTTGTGAACAATTTCGGGGAAATAACGTCCCCTTGTCTCACTCCTCGATGCAATGGTACGGGCCTTGTTTGCTGATTCTGTACTTGGACGGACATGGTGGCGGCTTCGTAGAGACATCTCATCACTTGGATGTATCGCCAATCTACTTGGCAACGCTGCAGGGACTCCAGAACAGACCAGATCTCGATCGAGTCAAAGGCTTTCTCATAGTCCACGAATGCTAGACACAGGGGCTGATTATATTCTTCGGTCTTCTGTATAATCTGCCGCACTGTGTGGATGTGGTCTATGGTGCCATATCCGCTCCGAAACCCAGCTTGCTCCGGTGGTTGGAATTCGTCGAGTCTTTGCGCAAGACGGTTCGTGATGACTCTCGAAAACAGCTTGTAGACGTGGCTTAGAAGGGATATGGGTCGATAGTTCTTCAACCTGGTCTTGTCACCCTTTTTGAAGAACAAGACGACCACACTCCTACTCCACGCTTCTGGAGTTCTCCCTTCAAACAGGACAGCGTTGAAGAGCTTTTGGAGCTCCCTTAGTACGGGTTTACCCCCGGCCTTCAGCAGCTCTGTTGTAACGCCATCCTCTCCAGGGGCTTTTCCATTTTTCAGCTGTCCAAGAGCCATCTCGATTTCGTCAATGCTAACTTCTGGCAGGTCTTCAGTGTAGTGACGTGTTAATGTGGCTCTAGAGTCCTCATTTTCGGGATCAGGTCGAGATGCATGCGAAGCGTATAACCGGCCATAGAAGCTTTCCACTTCCAAAAGGACTGCCGGCTTCGAAGCAACGACTTCTCCACTTTCTGTAGTCAACTTTGTCAGGTGGCTTCTTCCAAGAGATTGTACGAACACTTTTGACCCCCGATTTTGCTCGATCGCTCTTTCAATTGAAAGAGTATTGGAGCACCGGAGGTCGTGTCGTACGAGTTTACTGATCTCTCGGTTTAGAGTCCGCTTTGCCGACAAAGTGACAGGTGGGTTTTCACGTCGTTTCTTCATCAGCCCTAGGGTCCTTTCTGAAAGCTTCGACTTCCTGCCCTTACGCTGCATTTCACAAAATCTCATACCTTCTTCCCTGAGGATCCGAACCACATTTTTGAGGTTCTGGTTTACGTCGATTGTGGTTTCCACGGCAGCGAATCGGTTTTCCAGTTTTGACTGGAACGTTTCAGATCCTGTCATGGCTTGGAGCCGAGTTGGTCGGAGCCTGGATTTCATCAAACAGACACGTTCCGCCTTAAAGTTGATATTCAGAGAGCCCCGGACAAGTCGGTGATCACTACCGGTATTAAACCTATTGATCACTGAGACGTCTCTGAATATGTGCTTTCTATCCGTCATGATGAAATCGATCTCATTTCTAGTCATAGCGTCGGGGCTTTGCCACGTCCACTTCCTTTGGGGCTGTTTCTTGAAGAAAGAATTCATCAAAAACAGCCCCTCCCGTTCGAGGAAGTTGACCAGCATTTGCCCCCTATGATTCCTGCTTCCAAATCCATGGGATCCTACTACCGATTCGCCACAATTCTGTACTCCCACTTTAGCGTTGAAGTCACCCATAACAACGTTGTAGTGGGTCTTAGTTGTGAAGTGGAGGGCCCTCGATATGTCATCGTACATATCCTCCACCTCGTCGTCCGAATGTGCTGAGGTCGGTGCGTACACTTGCACAACCTTGAGGCTATACCTCTCGGTGAGCTTGATAATGAGGTACGCTACCCTGTTCGACACACTGGAAATTTCCACAACGTTGTCAGATAGGGACTTATTTACCAGAAACCCAACCCCACCTTGGGATTGTTGGTCTCCCTCGCGGAAGTACATTAGGTGGCCTGACTCGAGGGTTATGGTGTCCTCCCCCTCTCTTCGGACTTCACATAGCCCTAGGATATGCCACCTAATCTTCCCAAGTTCCACCTCAAGTTGCGCCAGATGCGAGTCTAGCCGTAGCGTGCGTCCGTTGTACGTAGCCAGGGTCAGTCGGTTGTGGTGGCCTCCCGTAGCCCGGAGATTCTTCGCACCCCCTGCCCCGCCTTTACCGTGGTCGCCACCATGACCAGGAATAGCGGGGCCGCCGGGAACTGGGTGCCGTGGCCTTTGTTGCGTCTGCATGGGAGGGGTTTGCCCATAATCGCCACGCTGGGCAGGCGGGTTGGCGATCGCAGGGCGTAGCTTGTCGCACCGGTAACGCTGCTGCCCGTCACCGGCCTGTTGTATTTAGCTACGCCTATTGGGATGGATATACCGCCATCGGTCGGTCGCCAGAGCCTCGTTCGTCGTTCAGCAGGATGCACCGCGGGCAGGTGAGGTTGGCTTGGGGCGAAAGATGGTGGTTCGCCCCTCACACCCTGCGAAAATGTAAAAATAGGTGTTTCGGAAAAACCGTGAACGATCGGTAAGAAACAATCCTACGACAATTTTAAAAAATACATTTTTTCCGTTTAGTTTTTGCCTTACAGCCTCTGCGTAATTTTATGATTATGCAGAGGTTGTACGGCAACTCTTAACAAAAAATTAGTAATTAAAGCCCCGCACGGATTTCCTACGTGTCACAAAATCTGAGAAAATGAAGGGCGAAAAGCCCTTCATCTTCTCAGATTTTGTTCACTCACGATTTGTTTGAGACAAACGCGTGTTTTCTCGTAGTTTCCAACGAATTTAACTTCAGCAACTCTCATATTCGTCCTTTTTTCTCACACTACAACCTCCTGATTTTCGTTTTTTCATTTACATTTTTTCCGTTTTTTTTTTATAATAATTTGCCACAAACCGATTTTTCTAAAGTATTTCTTTTTTTAAACCACTACTTTTACCTGAATTATTTCATTGAATAACCAGCCAGTTTAATTTTTAATATACGAAGGTATTTTGTACCGCACAACCTGTACTAAAGTCAATTAAGCCGAAAACTATATTTACCTCTCTATACTCTATACCCTCTTAATAAAGAGGTTTTGTGTGTGGTTTCACTATATTTCATTACTTTTATAAAATATTACTCAATTATTGATAGTGATTTAAAAATCTTCTAATTTTATCTAAAATTGAAATATAAACAAATGGATTAAAAATAAACACATTGAAGAACGTTGATTATTTTCTATATATATTATTACATTACATTTTCTTTGTAACGAAGCCTAAAATACAACATCAATAACATTTTAACATTATAGAAAGTGGCATGCGTACAAAATCCATTTATTTACCATAAGACAATGTTGCAAAAGTATGGAAATGTAAAAATATTAAATGACAAAAGAGACATTTTACTATTTATAATTATTTACTAAAATATATTTCTAATTAAATAACATTTAACGGCTCTCCTGTAAAGCCCTACAAAGCGACATTATTCTAAAAGACAGCGTATAAATATCGGCAACAGCTTAAATACGCCACCTCCACAAACTGGCAACGTGTAATTTTATGAAATTTGGCTAACGTTTCTCAACGGAAAATAAATATTTTTTAAAAGTGTATTTACATAACTACATTTCTGTAAAGTCAATCTTTTAATAACAGGAAATCTTTTTTTTATTAAGGAACACAAACAGTGTATTTTACAATAACATCTTAAGTATGCACAATGTTTTGATCTAGTACATACAAAAATAATATGTGTCCACATCTTCTGCCATTTTATGTTAACTACCTTGAGAGATAAAACAATTTATATAATTTCTATGATTGACCTTTTTAAATTAAAATTTTAACCAAATTCTTTAAGCGCATATTTACATAAAATGCTAAGCACAATTCATTCAATGTAATACTCTAATATATATTCATTTACAAAACATTATACTATACATTTATTTATGATTCTTTTAAAATGAACTTGTTTCTCACAAAATATATCTAGATTGCCAAAATTCGTCCATTTAAATAATTGTACATATTGCACATTCTTACAATTGTCGAATTCATTCCAAGATTAGTACGACATCTGGGCTAAACAAACATATTGGTAATAAATTTTGTAAGTATATTATTCAGAATAGCCATAAAAATGAACCGTAGTACACAAACAGCACAGATCTTAATCTAACTGTAATACCTTCTATACAGTAAAATTATACTTTAACTTAATAACTTATAAACATTCGCTTTAACGGCAACAATGATCCTCCCTCAGTTCAATTACAATTGAAAAACATTCGCTTTGGAGGTTTCGTCTCCTGGGGGAGTGACATCATTTGTTGCCGTTGGTACTGCTATGGGAGACTAGCTAGGCCAACTTCTGCAAACAGGTACGAAAATGAATCAATATGTAAATACACGTCGTGTTCCCACGCAGTAATATAGACGTCAATCAACTGCTCATCTCTACAGTGTGCTACATTCTCTGAAATCAAGAAAACATTGACTTCATTCAAATGTTATTTTATGAGACTATTACAATACTTCAGCTAATATTAAACTTTTGCCACGCAATCAGATTTTATTTCGAATTTAATTCCAACTGTTCCTACTGCTTTGATTCCTAAATTGTTCCAAATGTGTCCAGTACAGAAAAATGTTCAGTATTGATAGTTATCGCTACGTTCTGTTAGGTTTCCAGTTTGTCATCACTGGAAAGAGTCTTGGTGATATTATACTTCATAGTCTTGTACTACTAAGTACTTGGCAAATCCAAACACATTGCAAAATATTTGTAACTGACCGCTGATGAAGATTTAATTAGAATTAACATCAGTTTAATAACTATTGATTCAATAGCAGTGCAGTAGCTGTCCGTGTAGTGACGGATTAAGAATACGGAATGTCACTACCCCAATTCATCCCGTGGGTGTCGTAAGAGGCGACTAAGGGCGCAAAACAACGCAGGACACCAGCACTGCAAAAAGAAGGAAAACTTGACACAAACCCTATACCAACCCGTCTGGCCAGCGTGGTATAGTAGGCCAAAACCTCCTTTCTAAGGAGAGGCCTATGTCCAGCAGTGGACTATTAAAGGCTGTTGATGATTGATGATTGATGATGATGATGATTCAATAGCACTATAGCACTCGCTTTTGATTTTATAGATATATATTTCTTATATATATATGATACATAATTCTTATTCTGTAAGATAGTTGTCACATACATTCCTGTTTCTTAAGTGCCTTTATAGAGTAAGAAGCAGGCATAAAGGTGAGTACATGCTATTGATATCTATTTTAAGTTTTTTGATCTCTTACACTTATGAAACATTACTTAACTGAATAATTATATTATTAAATAATAAATTGTAATAAGCCTTAGGAATTTTACTTTTAAAAAACTGCCAAGGTTTAGTAATTGTCATTTCTTTTCATATACCTACAGTAGCAGGTCAGTATCAGAAACCTGTCAATAATTTTAAAACAGCTCCTATGATAAATAATAATGATGCACATGTTTGGAATTAACAGTCAGCCTGCCATTGTCAGTTTTAAGATATACAGATCTATTACAGATGATTGCGTTATTGCACATATGTATATAAGCGCTTATCTGATCTGATGGAGATTAATTCTATTTGAGTTATTTTATAACTCATAGCTGTGATAAATTACATCCATGTATAGTCAGTCTGTGATTACGGGCAGTACAGTCAAAGGTACAACAGGCATAACATGGCTTGAAAGATTTTGTTAATATTTTACAATTTGGGGATAGAGCAAAATTTTAATAAGGATTAAAATCTTAATATAAGGATATAGACTGCTACAGTCTATATAAGGATTAAAATTTTGCTCGATCCCCAAATTGAACCCACTAAGGCAGTGCTTATTAATATCCAAGCTTTTCAAATTCAAAGTGGTGGGCACAAGCTAGTAATATAATATAACTTTTATGTAGAGTTAAATGCATACCAATAATGACCTCCTTCAGTTCATATTCCTTTTTCAATGCCTCAAGTATTTCTATAACATTTTTGGAGATTTCACTCACTGACCAGGTAGAAATAGCTGGTTCATTGTCAGGCCGTAATTTAGCTAATGCCTTTAACTGGTCATTTATTATTTCACAGCCTGTAAAAAGATCATGTCACTTTTACTTAAAAATTGATTTTTATTAGTACTTTATGTTACCACAACCTAGTATAATATAATAAGGTGATTCATCCAACTTTTTATAACTATGTGTTACACCTGAAATTATGTTCATATGTATAATTGTAGCTCAAATTTCCTAATTCAAACTAAGAATATCTCTATTCCAAACGACACATTTATAAATATCATAACAGGAACTTTTGTTTAATTTATTAAAGTTCTATCCTGATTTCTAAGCAACACATTACAATTTATGTCTTCTTATAATACAATTTTTGGAAAATGCAATGCAGTAATAATAAGTAAACATGTAAATTATATCATACCAAATAAATAGTGTTGTGTTATTGAGATTAGAGACTCTGCGTAAATTGAGAGTATCAATCAACTGGTTTTTTTTAGTTCTGGGAAGACAAACGAGCATACAGGTTAACTCTCTGATTCCGTGAAGAGCAATGAAAAAATGATTAACACCAGTTTACTGTGAGGCCCTGGTAGTATCCTTTTGTGCCAAAGCATGTCTCCCACATAGCTTTTAATATTTTATAAATTTGTTCATTAAATTTGGGTTGGCTGGTATAGTACAAATATTCAGATCAAAATATACTTAGCAATTGAAGTCATCATAAAAATCAACAAAGTACTTACTGTCCAAAACAGTTTTTAAATTTTCCAAGATGTCTAATAAAAATCTCATATTTGGTTTCAATTGGCCTGGATAGTGATCATCCAGACATTCATGTAATTTTAATGCAATCACTGATTTGAATATACGGATTCCCTTGTCCTTCATCTTCAACCAATCGCATAATTGCTCATGGAGATTTGAAACATGGGAATACACAGTCTTTTCTATCTCTTGATGATCTTTACCGGGTGTGCTACTAATCTCTGAAAACAAAAGAATATTCTTTCAGTTACTTTATCTGAGTATTTAAAATATAAGCAAATATAACAACCTTACCTCTAGCCTTAAACTGTTGTGATGAATCAAATTTAGTTGGTGTTTTCGACATGATTACAATATTTTTTAGCATAACTAAAAGCCACAAGTCACAGGCAAATAGGCAATTAATAATTTACTTAGTTTAATAAACTTAAATATCTCGAAGTCATAACAAAATCAATATTTCTATATACACTTTATAGAGGGGTGCTCGATTGGTATCGATACTTAACTAGATCGATCCAATGGCGTTCGAACCAATCGATTTTTGTACCGATGCAACAATATACGATCCGCTGGTATTTCGACACAAATTCATGGAAGATCGAATCGAAAAAAATGAAATCGAATTAACATGTAGTTAATTTTAAAAGTCAATGTCAAATTAGTATTTAATTAATAAGATACATTTATCTCTTCTTGATATAAAGTCTTCTATATAAAGTTCTTTAAAAAAATTAACTGTGTATTAATTTTTTGTAAAAAATGATAAATGATACTGAAGCGAAGTGTAAATTTGCCATCTTGATATGAAAATGAAAGGAAATACAAGTAATTTAATAAAACATTTGAAAGGCACCATAAAAATACGGAAATCCAATCTATATATTTAAGTAAATGGGCATTTTATGTACATTTAACTTCCGAACATGGTATTATAAAAATGGTACGTATAAAAAAACTTTTTTATACGTCGTCGTCGTCCGAGCTTCCGAAGTATCCACTTTTAAAAGCCCTCTTGAAGATACTTGGCAAGATACACTGTGTTTCGATCCATTGCCATCCAAAATATCGATACAAAGCAACTGGATCGAGCATCCCGCGAACTCCACAGTTACAGTATATATTACTACTAGCTGATCCGGCAAACGTTGTATTGCAACAAAAAAAAAATTAGGGATGGGTCACCCTTACCATTCAAAATTGTGAATCTAAACCATTCCCAGATCCCCTTGAACACACACAAAAAATTTCATCAAAATCGGTCCAGTCGTTTGAGAGAAGTTCAGTGACATACACACTCACAGAAGAATTATATATATAAAGATATACTAACGAGTATATAGTAACGTAGTAAGATTAGGTATGTGGATTAGGTATTATGCATTATATGCATGCTATTATCTTTATTAGACTAGATTAGTAATGTCAAAATCCCAAAAGCGTTCATCATCATTATCATCATCAGCCTATCGCAGTCCACTGCTGGACATAGGCCTCTAACACAGTGCCGGATTAAGACAGCGCTGGGCCTGTAGCAAATTCTACCAAGGGCCCCTTGGGTTGTTTTAGGTTATCTAGTTTATGGTATTTACCTCAATAGTCTATTGCTGGATTTGGGCTTCTCCTTAGGAAGGAGATTTTTGTCTGCTATGCTACGCTGGCCAGACGGGTTGGTTATACCAGTCTCAAGTTTGAAACAAACCCTACTTGGGCTTGTTTTAAGTTTCAAGAAACAAACCCATATAGGTTTTGTTTCAATTTTGAGACGTCGGCCATGTCATGTGGTGTTGAACAAGGCTCTGGTCTTGGGCCCTCCTGTGGAACATAGGGTACGACTAGGCCCTTCGAGGAGACTTCCCCCCCGGGCTGGGCGTAATCTGTTACGCCAACGACACTTTGGTTGTCTGTGGGTAGGAGGGGGACCTGGGGCGTCTCTTTGGTGGTTGTCTTAAAGGTGGTCCTGGATAAGACGGAGGCCTCTTATTTCTTGGGCCTAGTTGTAGGCCACCCCCTGGCGCCTCAATCGTGGTCATCTTGGTCAACGTACCGGTTCAGGCCCAGATGAAGGATATGGGCCTGATACCTGACGGGAGATGGCTCTTCGATGAGCACTCCCGACAGCTTACCTTAAAACTGGTCGGCACTGCGTCTGCTCTTAAGTGACTTTTGCCCAACCAGCATCGTTTCAAGACAGCTGTACCCAGCTGTGCCCCAGTGTGGACGGCAGTTCTGACCGCCCGGCATAGGGCGCGCATTCACCAAAATTATGTAAGTGCTATGATTATGGATGTATTATCTCAATGTCTATTGTGCAGTTTGTGTTGTAAGTTTACTATTGTGTCATTATTGATTTTTATTACCAAATTATTATTTTTTTAATTATTTAATTATACTTGAGGGACTTTGAGCCATAATTGACTATGTCAGTCCCATAAACACCTTATGCATAATACAAACAAGCTTAAATGCCTTATAAAACTAATTATCTGAATTATTTAACTTATCTATAAATTTATATAATACAATAGCTGCGTTTGACATAGGTGCAGATAAAATACTCAAAAATACTCCGACGTCATATACCTTAATATTAAGTTTTGCTCTTAGGTAGACTCTAAGATCGTTGGTCCGAACGCATTCCACTAGAAAGTGATGAATATCTTCGACAACATTACACAATGAACAATTTGGTGAATCTGATTTCTTAACCAAAAATTTAAAATAATTTAGTGGTATGTGACCAGACCTCAATCTACAAGCTATAACAATCAACTTTCTACACAATACGTCATGGGCAAACCATGGTAGTTTAAAAAAGGCTTATCGTGCACAATTTTATACCATATCCCTTTGTTAATTGAAATTTTTTTGAATTCATTTTCCCAATTATTACATATCAATAGTTTGTACTTTAATAAGATATTACTAAATTCCGAAAAAACTAATGTATCTATACCATCTGATATAGCTTCTTTAGCCATCCTATCTACATTTGCATTGCCTTTTATACCAATGTGAGCTGGAATCCACTGCAGTCTCAAAGTTATACCTCTAGTTGTTAAATTTTGAACCTTTTTAAGAATAGCATAGGCTATCGAGGCACCTCTGCCGTCAGAGGCGCATCGAGCCAGATGCTGCAAAGCACTTTTACAGTCAGTTAATATCACTGTCTTTCTGAATCCCTTAGACTCTGCATATGAGATGGCCTTTGACACTGCAAATAATTCCACATACATTATGGACAGGTTATTATTATTGCCAGTCAACAGCTTATATTTTTCTTTTATATTATATCTTGGTTCATAAAAGGCTGCACCAGTACCATGCTCTGACTTCGAACCATCCGTAAAGACAGTGTGCCATCCCTCGTACTCACTGCTTAAGTAATTTAAAATATTAAATTTAAGGATGCTTGTGTCGTTATAATATTTTTTCTGCAGAGGCATGTCTACTATGTCAATTCTTATAAAGTCTTTGTTAATATAAGACATCCACGTGTTAAAAGAATATATGAGCACAAATTTTTGACGTGACAACGTCTTATAATTCGATAGAGCCGGCTGCACGCACGAAAAACCATGACTCATGCGGCGTTACCTCGCTCTGAGGCGTTCCATTTAAGGCGTAAAGTGCAAGCGAGAGCGCGGAACGAGTGACAAAGAGGCACAATCGGCCTCCGCGTTCGGCAGCGTTCGACATCTGTCTCTCTCAAGTAGGAACTTGAGTGAGCGATGCGTCCGCGTGGACAGCTACCACTCGTATACAATAATACATTTTTCAAAAATGCAACCATTCCATCAGTATTTTCTTATGACGTTGTCACGTTCAACTATCGTCAGTAAACCAACTTTACAGACAAGCGATTTTTTGTATTAATTTTTGTCTCAATTTTAATGTCGCTATACACTGATGCCAATAAAGGTTTTATTTTGTTATTCCAGTACCTAGTTTCACATTGCTGATCCAATATTTTAATTCCTTGAGTTACTGTATGATTAGTAGTGCCGATAACCTTTAAGCAATATTTTGTAGCTAAATATTTTCTTCTTAAGTGAAGGGGTGGAATAGCTAATTCAGCTTCCATAACGTGTATTGGCGTAGTTCTAATATACCCCCCAATAACCCGCAGTGCAACAGTTTGTACTCTATCTAATTTTACTAAGTGGGATTTAGCTGCATTACTGTACAAATAGGAACCAAAATCTATTCTACTACGAACCAATGACAAGTACAGTCTTCTTACATGCTTGGGATGCACGCCCCATGATTTGCCTGACAAAATTTTAAGCAAGTTCACTAAATTCAGACATCTCTCTTTAACTGCGTTAATATGCTTAGCCCACAGTAGGGATCTGTCTAACCAGATTCCCAGATACCTGATATTTTCCACCCGCTCCAACTCAACATTACTAATTGTAAGTGGGATCTGATTATTTCTTCTGCCTCTACTAAATAGACAGGATTTAGTTTTAGAAGTCGAAATTTCTAACCCTATGTTATTAATATGCTGGCTAAATATTGATAACGAGTTTTGTATATTACTGATACATTTATTTATATTTTTGTGCTGGGTATAAAAAACAAAATCATCCGCATACTGTAACACAGAAACCTCTTCAAAACTTTGACATAAATTTGATGTAATTATATTAAATAAAAGTGGAGACATTGGGTCGCCTTGACACAATCCCTTATTTGTCCATCTATCATGCTTACAGGAGCTATTTAATTTTTTTATCTTCAAGTATCTCTTATTTAGAAAAGACCACATGTAGTTACACAACCTAGAACCTACATTTAAATTATCCAACGTACGTACTAATTCAAACACAGATACATTATTATAAGCACTTTCAATATCTACAAAACAAGTTAGGGTGGGCAAACTCTTTGAAAATCCTATCTGAATGTCCGTCACTAAACGAGCTATCAATGATACGATACCGGCAAATGTCCATAATGGGCGTTTTATTACCTACATTCATTCGTGATCTTTGATCCTTCACCAATACATTAATTTTTGCCAAGTAATCGGTTGCCTGTGACACTAACTCGCAGTAATTATACTCCCCTCAGCTATCACAACCGCTAAGAGACAAAACTATCCCACTTAAATCCAAAGTATTAATGTGTTTACATCTATTGTCTTTTGGCGAGAAATCCGTAAGTGATTTTTCGCTAAATAATCTTTTCCCGGTTGGTGTAAGAACTTCACTTGTACCGCCGGTATCCGACAACTCGCTAACAACCGACATAGCCAAACAAAGACACACCAAACTACAATTTAAAAAAGAACAAGCATAAAAATAAACAACATGCAAAAAAAAATCAATACAAACAAAAGATACCCACTTTTAGAAAGACAATAAATTTATTTACCAATAGCCGTAATAAAAGAATTTAGCACTATGTTTCTGTTTAAAACAGTAAAATCTAACTGAAATTCTTTAAACACACAATACACAACCTTACGCCGTTCGCAAACCGGGAACTAGTCGCAGAAAAATAGAGAAAACAATATTTAAATTGTTAGGATTGTCACACATGAGTCGCACAGTGCCTTAAGGTTTCGAGTATTTATTTTAAACATTTGTAAAAAACCTGAATGGAGTGTTGTGTGTGTTGCTAAGTTTGGAAAGAAAAAGATTCCCCGAACCCACTTGTTTTTTGAAACCAATTTTACACGAAGCTGTATCATTTTAATTTTTTTTTAATACTTCCACATTTCGCTGGGGTATTATTTACGCGGCGGCAGCGGCTTCTTCTTGAGATTTATTTAACTTTAAATGCAAGTACCAGTAATATTTTATACGTTGTTATTTCGAGTAAAACGAGACGAAAGTGAACGAATAATTTCGTACAGTAGGCTGTTGCCACTTATGGTCTGGGTCCTCCTCGGAGTAGGTCGCCTGAGTTAGGCCGCCGGGGTGGTTTTTAGTGGAAACATCACATACTCCTGGCTCCTACATCCCCAAGGAGCCGGAGAGCAGAAGGGAATTTCAACAAAAAAAAAGGCTGTTGCTGCTTGTTATATCAGAAATATGTCAGAGAAGTACTTCCTATAACTAAGAAACTGAAAGATTCTGTGCAAATAATGCAATAATACCATTAAGGGCTGCAATTTTCAGAATACTCATCATCATCATCATCATCAACAGCATCATCAACAGCCTTTACTAGCCCACTGCTGGACATAGGCCTCTCCTTAGGAAGGAGGTTTTGGCCTACTATACCACGCTGGCCAGACGGGTTGGTATAGGGTTTGTTTCAAGTTTTCCTTCTCTCTGCAGTGCTGTTGTCCTGCGTAGTTTGCTTCCTTAGTCGCCTCTTACGACACCCACGGGATGAATAGGGGTGGTGACACTCTGTATTCTTAATCCGTCACCACACGGAACTTTCAGAATACTGAATAAGTAAAATAGTTTAAAAGACAAAAAGCACCACAGATTATCCAATCCGTAAAGGTTCATCTATCGTACAATGTCGCATTACAGCCGGCACAGCGGCATAGGCTAATATGGCGGTGGTCGCATCAGCTGACCGATTCGAAAAAGTTTCACTTACATCATGGTTTTATGAAACCACATCACAGTTTTTTTATTTATCTTAAGCTAATAATTCATTAGAAATAAGAAGAAGGAAAGTATCAATACTTTTAGAAAAAATCGATACCTCAAAAGCTTTGGGACAAAAGTATCGATTCCAAAAGTACTTGGTATCGAAAACCTGAAGCATCGATGGTTTTTGCTTATCCCTAAACCCCTAGCTATTTTATTTTTAATATTTTTGTATCTCAATCAAACGGTAAGCAATAATAATAAATAATAATAATTTTGTATACAGGTAATATAATATCTAGGTAAGTGTATAACTTTAAACAAAATTAAATTATAGTTTCAATATTACAGAGTAATTTTGGTTTTTGTTTTACTGGTTATTATTATTTTGTATATATATTATTAGCTGTATATTTATTTTACTAGTTTAAGATTTATCATGCCTGTAAAAGATAACAATTCATTCATTCTTATTCTTTCATTCTCAAAAATTTTTTTGGCTTTGGCTCTACCACAGCTCCACATAAAATCCTTTGACAGTTTGTCTTTCAAATACATGACATTGGCGAAATTGTGGTTACATTCTACTACAAAGCCATTAACCAAAAGTTGAAGTTGAAGTATTTTATTGGGTTGATTGTGTTAAAAGTAGTTTTGTTTTACGGTTTGTCTCTTCAAAACCCACCTTAAATTGAACCTAAATTTTATTATTTATATCCTTCAAAATTAATTTATTTATCAAGTGAGTTGTTTGTATAAGTATTATACATTCACGATACCCAATATTCTCTCCCTTTAATTTACAACACTCATAATACGGTTTCGTTTTCACTCGGAATTACCTTTGCTATTTAACATTCCGGTTCCCTATTATATTAATATTAAAGAACCATGTCGGGACCCATACAAGACGTTGTTGAAGAAGACGCAGCGGATTTGCAGTTCCCTAAAGGTAAACGTGCTAAAATTTAATACACACAAATTGTAGGTATGCTAGTAATAGAGGATTCATGTTAAAAGAAACATTTAAAGAAAAAATACCAATATTTACTGCCAAACTGGTAAACAATAATGTTATAACTGTAAATGACTGATGAACTAAGAACAAAACAATCATGTGGCCAGTCTTCCACATGATTGTTTTGTTCTTAGTTCACCAAAGTATGCTACAAGTTCATTTACTATATTTCTATAGTTATCACATCAACAGCCTATAACAGTCCACTGCTGGACATAGGCCTCTCTTTAGAAAGAAGGTTTTGGCCTACTATACCACGCTGGCCAGGCGGGTTGGTATAGGGTTTGTGTCAAGTTTTTCGTCTTTTTGCAGTGCTGGTGTCCTGTGTTTGTTGTTGTTGTACTATAGTTATGCTACTGATTAATCATATGAAGGAAAAATAAATTATATCAGTCATTTTATTTGCTTATTCCTATATATCAGATAGTATTAATTAACAATTTCAGAGTTTGAAAATGCAGAAACTTTATTAATATCAGAAGTGGACATGTTACTAGAACATCGGAAAGCACAGAATGAGTCTGCAGAAGAAGAGCAAGAATTTTCAGAAGTCTTTATGAAAACTCTTACATACACAAACATGTTCAAAAAATTTAAAAATAAAGAAACAATAGCTGCTGTTAGGAAGTGAGTAGTACTAATTGATGTTTATTAGTAAGCTGTGAAGGCCAATTCTCGTCATAAAAATTCAGTTCTGATCAACTCTCGATCTCGCAACTGTTATAAAAAGTATTTTTCTATTAAAATAGTAAAGTACTTACTAAAATTAGCAGTTTGCCGATTCAATTTTCTGTCACAATATGATATAATCACATTGCATTGTCAACGTTACATGTTTAATACTTTACTATCAAAATACTTTTTATGAAATTTCTGAGATCAAGAGTTCATTGGAGCTGAATTTTATTATTATTGTTAAGACCAGATCCATGTAGACGACCGGTGTTAAGCAATCCTTTCTTTGCTTTTTATTGAGTGAGTGAGGTTACCCAGGAGGGATTTGGGCTCCAGTAACCTCCCCCTAATACTCCAGGGAGGACTCCAAGGGCGACAATGTACTTGTGACTCTTAAGTTGCAGGTACCCATGGGCGACAGTAGTTACTTACCATCATCTTTATCAACATCATCAGCCTTTAATAGTCATCTGCTCTAGGCCTCTCCTTAGAAAGGAGGTTTTGACCTACTATACCACGCTGGCCAGATGGGTTGGTAAAGGGTTTATGTCAAGATTTACTTCTCTTTGCAGTGCTGTTGTCCTGCGTAGTTTGCTCCCTTAGTGGGCTCTTACGACACCCACAGTATGAATAGGGGTGGTGACACTAAATATTCTTAATCCATCGCCACACAGACAGTCCACTTACCATCAGGTGACCCGTTTAATTGGTTGCCCCCTCCTATACCTTAAAATAAAATCCATGTCTTTTACAAACTTTTCACTCCTATATTCATAAACACTACTCGCCTATTTTGTTTTAATCCCATGCATCTCATCTACAACCATGAAACAATACTTCTCTAAATTCATTTACTTGAAAAATAACAAAATGATTTCTAAGCCATCTTCATCAATAGATAACAATCAACATATTAGTTATTGTTTTGTATTAAGTTATATAGTTGGGGACATCATTAATGATTGTTTTCTATTATGTTATATAGTTGTGGACGTCTGTCAGCTGAGATGATGATAATGATGATAAAGTTATGGTAGCCCAGGTAAATAATTGAGTTTCCACTGTATTATGAATGTGTCAAACAGTTAAGTTACCACATAGGTCATTATGTACCTTATGCTACAATTAAATAATTTACTATCCACTATTTCTGTATTTATAATTTCAGTCTCCTTCAATCTAAGAAACTACACAAATTTGAAGTGGCAAGTTTAGCAAATTTATGTCCAGAGACACCTGAAGAAGCAAAAGCATTAATACCATCTCTAGAAGGCAGATTTGAAGATGAAGAGCTTCGAATATTGTTAGACGACATACAAACTAAGCGTAGTTTACAATATTAATGCATTTCTAGATCCTTTTATAAAATAAGACTGCAATTATAATATAATACAATTTTACATCAACATTTTCGTTTTATTAATTAAACCTCAAGGGTCATTATATCATCATTATATCAAAAGCTAATCCGAACATTGCCTGATAACAAACATTATCTTTGCTTGTTTAAAATGAACCCCTTTTGAGCCAGAAGTGTGCGAATGTGCGTGAATAATGTCGAAAATAGTCATTTAAATGTTATAAATAATAAGTTGCCCAGATTCTGTAATAGTTGCTCACATTTTTTAATTTCTTGCACATTTTGTTGTTTTTGTAACCACCTAAACATGGTCGGGTTACCACGGTCTTGGACTTCCTAATGACTGATTTTATTATCTCATTAATTATTGTATACAGGGTGTTAGGAAAGTACCGGAACAGAAGAAAAATCCGCTAGGGATGCATTTTTCGGAAATGCGTTAAACACAAAAGTTACAGCAATTTTCCCTTGCACGTACAGGTTTATCGGTGGCTAAATCATTCCGAGCGCTTTGTGACCGATTCTACTTCAAGCAGTCTTACTGTACGGTTGTGTAGATTATTAGTACTGTTCTACCCTTCAAATATGGTTATAAAAAAATGTTTTGGTTGCAAAAAGAATATTACCAAGAAGTCTCCTGGTTTGGAATGTAGCAGATGTTCCAAAGTAGTACATGCGAATTCTGAGTGTGCTAAACTGTCCAACAAGCAGTTGAGCACCCTACGTAACTCAAACAGCATTGAGTGGAGTTGTGAGACATGTCTGCTTAATACTTCACGAAGGACGTCATATATCATCCCAGAAGACGACGATGCCGATGAGGACTCCGATTCAGGTACTGTCATTACCCACCAATCTACTCTTGACCACAGGAAGCTCATACAAGACATTAGTCGGGAGCTAAAAAAGACGGTAAAAGAAGAGGTTGGCGCCTTAGAAGCATCTCTTGATTTCTTGAGTGACCAAATCAATACCCTAGAAACTTACATTAAAAATCAGGATAAAAGGATCAAGGACTTGGAAAATAAAACCACAGATTTAAATAATAAAAATAAAAATTTGGAATTACGAGTTGCGATTCTAGAACGAGGAAGAGAACAATATGAACAACGTACACTATCAACATACGTTGAAGTTACTGGGTTACCGGAGGGACCATCCCAGGATACTAATAAAATATTGGGTTCGGTAGCAGCTAAATTGCAGGTAAATGAGCAGGACATCCAGTCAACTCGTCATGTAAATGGGCACAAGGGTAAGCCTGGGTATATACTGGCTGAGATGAAAACAAAGGCTGCACAGGGTCGATGGATTGCTGCTAGCAAAAGTAAACGCCTAACACTCGGATTGATTCTACCTGACACACCAGCGGAAAAGGCTAACAATAAGGTATTTGTACGTGAAGCTCTAACTAAATACATGAAGACGCTTTTTTATACAACTAAACAAAAACTGGGCAGTTCGCACCAATTCATATGGATTAAGGAAGGGAAGGTATGCGCTCGGCAAACAAGCGGCAGCAAGATTCACTACATTCATTCGATCCAGGATATTGAACTGATAGCCAACTACCCACCTACCAGTTCTACGTAAAGGTAAATAATGTGTTGCTCTAATAGGAATGTAAACTAATCTTCTGTTTCTATTTTCATGGAACCACTAAAGCCTAAAGAAATTAAGAATTGTAACTCCGCTAACTACTTCTTTAAACAACTGCCTTCAAATCATAGTTTGTTTTTCTCATGTTTACACGTTAATATTAGATCTATAATAAAGAACTTCACTAAATTGTTACAAATTATCCATGAATGTTCTTATCCACTGGACATGATTGTGCTTACAGAGGTTGGCATATCCGAGAATATTGTAAGGTTATTTAATATACCTGGCTACAACATGCACTCACAACTACGAATAAATAGAAAAGGTGGCGGTATTATTATTTACACAAAAAAGTATTTAAAATTTACTACAATCCCATATAAAAGCTTAACTTTCGAAAATATAACGGGTATCTTAAAAACAGATAGCCAAGACGTAGTTGTGTGTGCTATTTATAGGCCACCATCTTCATATGCTCGCAAAGGGCTGTTTGTTAAAGAACTTGCTAAATACGTGTCTAACTTCAAATTGCAAAACAATGCACTATTAATCGGTGATATGAATATAAGGTGGGTGGACCATGGAAGGCCACGCTCCTTTGAAGGCCAACTATTAAAAAGTCGTAGTTATTGACATGTAAAGACATATTCCTTCTACTACACACTACAATCCATCAAACTGAAGGCCACAGACGCGGCTACGAGTCGCTCGCGCCGCTATTGTGGCAGTGCGATCTCACACTTCATAGACTTCGGTCGTCGACGTTACAATTGTTATTCGCGCGCACAGCAAAACGTAAGTTTTTAGTTAAATAACCTATTGTTTGCTTATATTTTTTACTGTGAATTGTCGTGTAAGGATATTTTTATGGAACTCAAGAAAAAAAAAAGAAATTGCCTCGATTTAAGTGAAAATATTGGGAGTGTTCCTAGGAAAGCCGGTGGTTCCTTATAAGGCCAATCAAAACTTTGACGGTTGGCCTTGCTAGGGAACATGGGCCTTACATATATAAAACATGAACATATGAACACTTATTATGTGGTTATAAATACGTACCGTTAAAGTTAAAACAATGTTTTATATTTATAATTTTTTTGTAAGGGTTTTCTAACTTTTAAACTCAGATTGAATAGACATTTTTTTCAAAATTATTTTATTTTCAGTATATATTTAAATTTATTTTATGTCTATGAAGAGGTTATGTCTGGAAATAAACTAAACTAATTTACATGAAAAGCAACGAATATAAAAATATTTGCTTGTTAAAAGCGGTAAAGTAAGTATGAGATAAGTTAAAAATTGTATATCTAAAATAGTCTGTCTAAAACTATAATTAAAGCAAAAAAAAATTATATCAATAAGTTGGTAATTGAACAGATGATTAAAATTTATACGTATTATTTCAGATTTCAAGAAAGTCACAGTCAAAACCTAGAAAAAGAGGTAGTACATGGAACGAAGATAGTTTAAGATTTTAAACATTCCTGACTACAAGAGTGACTATGTGCCATGATAAGTTTGTAATAATTACAGTACGTCTGTAGTGTCTATTATTTGATTATAATTAATATAAAAAAGTCATAGATCGTTAGTTTGGCCTTCTTAGGAACATTGTGGCCTTACAAAGAACGGAGCCTTAAGAAGGCCATATAAGGTAAAAAAAAAAGTTTTTAATTTGATTATAAAACGCGTTGGCAAGTTATTTTATATCAATATAATATTTATTACTACTAGTTTTAAATAATTTCCATTAATATGTTCTTAGTTATACGATGGTGTTCAAGTAATGTTCATTGTGTTTTTTATAGATAATAAAAATATATTGTGCATTTAATGTTTCGCTTAAATGAAAGAGCTTATTATGTAGTTTTAGTAAAAGCGGATATATTAATTGTTACAACTCTATTTTTAAGTTGAACGACTGAATTATAATATTGGCCTTGTTTGGAGCCCTGTTCCTTGCAAGGCCATTTGGAAGAGCTTAATAAAACTTAAGTTTAATAAATAGTTATTAAAGCTAGGTAAAAAAAAAAGTGATTTCTATGGTACACAATAAACCAAAGTATGCCTTAACAATTTGTTTCCTTCATTTATCCAGTAAATATACGAATAATAAGTGTTTATTCTTTAGAGTGGCCTTCCATGGTCCACCCACCTTAGATCTGAAAACCATGTCGTCACATACTGAAGCATACTTAGAAGCACTGAGTGAGCGCGGATTTATGTGTGGAATCACTGACTACACTAGAATTGAGACTAAATTGAATACGACAACAAAATCTTGCATTGATCACTTGTTCGCACGATTCCCCACATTGGATCCGTACTCGGCAGCGCTCGACGTGGTACTGGCCGACCATAAAGCCATTATGTTTTCTTGCGTAAGCCAATGCTTAGAGACACGGCGCACACAGGGTGTTACCAAGACACATGTAAATTATAAAGTGTTAAATGATCAAATAAATAAGGTGATATGGACGCAGACCGGTGACATGAACTGTCCAAAGCAAATTTATACTTTCATTAGGGATTCCTTAAACTGTGCACATGACCGGGCAAGTTCTACAAAAAAATATAAAATAAACCAAGGCTTATATCGGGCTCCCTGGATCAATGAAAATATTAACAAATTGTGTAAAAAACGCGATCGCCTGTTTAGCACATGGAAACAAAATCCTAATAATCTTGAATTGCGACTAGAATATAATAAATTACGTAATAAAATTCATAAAATACTTGACAACTGTAGAAACTCTTATTACATAAATACTATTAGCGATAATTTCAATAATATTAAAAAAACCTATCAGATTATAAATCACATGCTAGGCCGCATAAGCTTATCCATCGATGAAGCCATTATTAGAGCATTTCAACCGCAAGGTCTTTCAACAAAAGATTTGGCCGATGGGTTCGCTAATGAATTTGATCAGGCGGTCAAAAAAATTATTCCGCAATGTACGACCCAATTGTTAGATAGGAACGCGTTTTACAATCCCGTAAACTCTAGCATTCGATTGCAAAAGGCTACGAGTAACAACATTGATAAAATAATAAAAACATTAAATACAAACAAAGCTCCAGGTCTAGACGGTATTTCGGTTTCAGATATTAAAACAGTAAAGAGTGGCATTTCTCAGGCAATAGCTAATCTTATTAACTGTAGTGTTGAAACTGGTGACTACCCTAATGAATTAAAGATTGGCTGCGTTAGACCGATCTTTAAGAAAGGCCACCGCAACGAATATAGCAACTATCGGCCTATCACGCTTCTCTCTACCATCGACAAAATAGTCGAGAAATATATCTGTAATCAGGTGAATAATTTTTATAAAGATAAAGAAATCATTTACAAAAATCAATTTGGTTTTCAGCAGGGAA